GAAAATCTAATTTCCTCGATCAAGGACTCGTTCTCGAAACTTTCGAACAGGATAATTAGCTCCTCGAGGAACTTGATCTTTTAATGAAACCGTGTGCCACCGGTGACACCACCGCTACTGACAAGTTACTCAACGTCGCAAGCGAAAAAACAATGATCGAACCTTGACCTGCATTGTCACCGATGCGGTTCGCCCGTGACTCTCTCTCTCTCTGAAAATTCCATAGAAACGTTCCGCCCCGAAAAAACAGCCGTGACAGTACGCAACGTTTCGGAGATAATAAGACAGTGACTGGCGGTGCGTCGATAATTGGCGGGCGTGGATTAATCGATCGAACACATTCCCAGAATTGAATCAGCCTGGCCAGTTCCGATTGTAATATTAACACGCGGGGAAAACGTGTCTTTATTTCGATTGATGAAACGATCGCGGAATCTGCCGCCGCCGCCGCCGCCGCCGCCGCCGCCGCAGCTGGTAATTTAATAACCTTCGGAATTACGTTAAACGAATTAAGATGAAAGTTGATCGGAATCGGAACTCGAAACTCCCCGTATACCGAGTTTTCCCGGCGAGTTAACGTTCGAATTGTTTCGAAACGATATTGCGGCGGTTGCCTGCCAGTATCTCCGCGATCGGTACAATCTGCCGGTATCGGGCATTGTCGAAAAACGGCGAATCGAGTAGAAATTAATTAATTTCAAGAGCAGGATTATTGGCTGACATTGAAAATTGTAAGCGTCCACCGATGCCCTTCGTTCTCTGTTGAACGAGCAACAAGATCGACTCGATCCTCTCATCTTACAGCTCCGTAGTTTATCTTTTCAAGGATATTTTCGATATTGCCAAATTTTCGACGTACCTCTGAGACATTAAACGAGAAATGTCGTAATCATTTTACCATTTTAACGGAGCAATATGTTCCAATGGCGATAGATTCGAAAAGTTTCTGCAAGTCGAGTAGACAAGAAGTCTGGCGAAACAATATTGTTCGAATTTCTTTTGAGCGGCAGTGGAACGCCGTCGCAGAAAACGGAGCATCGAAGCGAGCGTCGTATTATACCGGAAAATAAACCGTAATCAAAGCAATATCGGAGAGACCGGCCGGCGTCCTCCGATCGAATTCAATAAGCCATCGAAACCGGAGATACCAGAAGCCGAGGAGCTGCTCGTTCCAAGGGGGGAATCCGGGTATCCTGGTGTAAAGAAGACGATCCACGAGGAGTCGATGGCCCATTCGAACAAGAACAAATCGAATTGTTGGCTTTTCCATTGTCTGCGATCTGTATCGCCAATCGGTCCCGTCGCTCTTCTCGCGTTTGCATCCAGTTCCTCGCGCAACGTATCGCGCGTCCTGCAAACGTTTCAAGTGGAATTTAACAAACATAAATATCACTCGATTCTCCCGAGTTTCCTATTAACCAAATATCACCTTTCCATCCAAGTAGTTAGATCTTCTCTTCGTTCGGTTGTTATATTATTAACGATAAGACACGCGAGAAACATCACCGGACAAAAGACAAAGGGTTGACGAGTGCGACAGTGACAGGAAAGAGCCGCGGCGCGATCGTCGAACGCGTCGATTTTAATCTGCCACTTAACCCGATACGCAACCATGGAACACGCCAACCGATTCACGATGTTTACATAGTTGGAATTTTATACTATTATCCGCTTATGCCTGGATTAATGTCCGTCGGGTTCCGAGCTCGCTGAAATAGTCGAGCCCGTCCCTGTCATCGAAAGCTCGCGTAGCCTCTTTGTATCACGAACTGCTCCGCAGCTTTACGTAAGCTCCGTGAAACACGCGTTTTCATTAAGGATATAGATACAGAGGCGCGCGAGTCTTCCGTAACTTTCGTTGAATCGATGAACGATAACAGTGTTGCCCTTTGTATCTTTCGCGTTATCGATAGAAAGTTTGCTACTTCGCCCGTTCGTTTACCAAATTAATTATCTCCGCGTCTAACCAGAAGCTCGTCGAACGTGTCCAGAGAATAATCTCACCTGTTCGGACGGTTTTTGCTGAAAAACCGAACAAGAGGCGGCGATCACACTCGTTTACCACTTTCATCGAGTGGCAGAAACGCGCGACAGGGGACGCCAGAAACCGCGAGCGAGGCAGACTAATCGTTCCTTCCGAGCGAACCGAACGACCGACCACGCGTCGAGGCCTCTCTAAAGTGAGAAAATTGGTTCAAGGCCGACGCAACTAGCCAACAAGAGACAATAAGTTGGGGTGGAAGCTATTTCAATAAACTCTGCGTTCCTCGGGATCGATAGGCGCTCGGCGCTCCGGACAAAGAAAGAAGAGACATAAGGAAGAAAGAAGACGCACCCTTCGGGGAACGTGTCTTCCGCGTTTCCCGGCGTTCCTTTCGACCGCGTCCCATTCTAGATCATCCATAACGCGCGTCAAATCGGTCAAGAAATGATAAATGCCGGCCGCGTGCGACGAGCGGAACAAATTTTTTCCTCCTTTTCCTTCTTTTCCCTTTTTTCATTTTTTTCATTTTTCTCATTTTTCTCATTTTTCTCATTTTTTCCGACCATTTTTTTTACGATTCCATGTCTGCCAGCGTTGACAGGGCGCGCGCCTTTTGTCGGAAATGATGAATGGATCGTTTATTGTATTCTCTGTTAACCGTGGGATGCGGACCGACACGAGGTGTCTGTCTCGCTGGTGGGAACGAATACGTTGGAATTTCGGACGTTCCATCGATTTTAAGAGGCACCGATGCTGTTATTCTATGAATTCGATACCGTTGATACGTTCCATTAGAGGAAAATACTTACGAACGAACGTTCTTGTTGTCCATTAAGGTTCGATACTTGTGCAAATATTTCGTACATGTGGCCTGACCGAGTTAGGAAAGTTGACGTTCGTGCGAAGATTGCCTTCGTCAGTTCGTACCACGCTCGTTCTTCGAATATCGACACGCGCGAGGATCAACCTTTATATTTAACCTGGTCTCGAATCTTCTTGTCTTTTATTATTGCTCGAAACATTCCCCTTCGATACCAAGACGCTTCTCTGCACAGCTCACTATTTACGCGAGATTCCTCTTTTCGACTGACATTTACTAAAGCTGGACGAGAGAACTGTTGTATTTTGAATAGCTCGCAACCGGTGGGCTCGCGTCGACTCCCCTTCGTATTTTCCAGGATTAAACCTTTTAAAATAAATACCAGGCGAGGGTGTAATTAATAGACTGCGGATGTTCCGCGTATCCGATAAACACGGCTGCGTACAACGTGGAATGGAGAAGTTATCTTTCCTTATCTGTCGATAATCTGAAAGATTATCAAGATATTCCGTCGAGATATTCTTTTTTCATCGAAGGACTTATTAAAGATAAGGTGTCGATTGGATAATGGATCGAAAGAAGCGATCGGTCTTTATTTAATCCCTGTTTTTTTGAAGTTACATCGGGAAAATGTTGATTCCGTCCCGGTGATTAAAACTCGCGTGACAGAGAAGAGAGGAACAAGGGAAAGTTTGGATAATAAAATGATGGGAAATTGTATCTGGCGGTGAAAGAACTGGGTCTGCACCGATGCGTGACGAAATTGTCCCGGACTGTCCGAATCCTTGGTTCGAAGGGACGAATCGAGGATTCGTTCGGAACGCTTCGGTCTCCTGCCGGTGGACGCGAACAAAGAAAGGAGAAAAGAATACGGATCAATCGACGGGGAATCAATTGCGATCCTTCCTGTGGAATTGGGCCGAACCGGCGGCTGAAGCAATAAAATGTGCAATCTTGGGGTAGCCAACCCTCCAGCTCTTCGAGCCGGCAGACGGAAATTTCATTTTCAATTCGAACGTGTTCACGGGTTATCGCGTCGACGAGGCTTCGAGAATTCGAGCTGTCGAGCTTGTCGGCTCGACATCGACGAATTCGATTTTCCGGCTTTTCAATGATTAGAAGCTGTCGTTAACCACCTCGCGTCGTTTTCGGATGTTCGTTCCGTTAGAAAACGGAAATTGGAAACACGGGATTTTCCGATTTCGAACTCGACACTTTCAAATGCGCTGTTTTATTGGAAAACGTTTGATTGTTTCGTTACCGAACCGTACTCGACCAGCCAATTACTTATCTACTTCGCTACTTACTCGCTAGTGTCAACTAGAATCGACTCGACAATATCTTGCGCGTGGAGATAGGCAATCCCCGTGAATTCCTTCGATTTATTTCTCTTTTGTTTCTATCGTTTCGATATTCCAAGTAAACTACCGAATCGATGTATATGCTCGAGATTGTCGCTGATCCGGTGAATTACAATGGACTCGATGCCAGTCGAAAAAATCTTGGAAACGCTACACCAGCGAAAAGAGCAGTATTTAGGTCGTTCCGCGAGTTCATTTATTAGAGATTTATGAAACTCGGTGCTTCGTATGCGCGATTCGAACGGGATCAGCTCGCGATAAACAATTCCGCTGGACACGCGTTGCGCGATCGGCAGAAATTTCCCGGAACGTATGCAGATCGATCGGAGTCAAAGGCAAAATCTAATTAGCGGAAAGTGCTGTACGGGATTAGAGGCACGAAACGTGATAGCGATTCGGTTGGAACGAACGGTGAACGGTGAAAGGTGAACGTAAACGTAAACGTAAACTGTCAGCGTACACCCGCGATATATTTTAGCCGATGCACGTTCCACGGTTGGCTCGCTACGACGTTTCCAGTGGAAAGTGAGAAAAAGATGTGCTTCCCTGTATGAAACATTGCTCCGCTTTCGAACCCTGCTACCCTGTCACTTGCAGTCGTTTCTCATCAGATATTTTACTTGAGATCTTTTTTATCGAAACTACAAGGCGAGTTTGTGGTTCGCGTTGCCGCGTTGCCGCGTTGCCGCGTTGCCGCGTTGCCGATGTGTAACAAAAGTGAAGCAGAAAAGGTTCGATGAGAAATTTTGAAAAATATTTAGACTCGTTAACCGAAATATATTATTGATTGAAAGGACGTTGGTGTTTACAGGAAACTCTATTTGCCTCGTTCCAGATTTACTTCGCAGTGCTGGCGCTAACCACCGGCAAAGTGCTCCAGGGGGAGAGCCAGTATCTGAAGGGGAATCGTTCCTTACCGGAATCCACCAGCTTCCTTGAACCGGACAACATATCCCCCAGTGAGTACCCGTCCCGTAATAACAGCGCTCGCGGTGGATACACGCGTCCTCCGGTGGTTCACGAGCCCCCGGTGTACTCGCTAGCCAATAACTGTCCCCATAATCGAACGATTTTGGCTTGCGACTAATGCCGGACGCGCTTCTCTCGATTCAGCTACCGTGTGGATTAACGTGGCCCTGCTTCTCTGCTCGAGCTGCGGCGTCATTTGCAGCATTCTACTCCTCTACGGTCTCTTCAAGGTAAGAAATATCTCGCGTTCCATAACAACCACTCGAGAATAATACATATAAATTGCATTTCATTTCGCGGCTAACGTATAATACGGAGAACAATCGTTCGAGTCGGCTACTGGTTTCGTCGCGTGTCACGGATAGAAATAGCAGACTAATAGGACGCTGTATAGGGTGGATTAGACCGTTTCCCGGGGCGGAATGAAATTCTAGATTTCTCGACAGCGAACCGTTTGGCCGAGCAGAATTTCTTAACGCGTTTAACGGCGAACCGCAAAACGTTGATCCCGGATCCCAGCGTTATTCCTCGAGCTGCTCGTTCCCGAGACTTCGTTCGCGCGAACGTTAACCTGCGACACCGGTCCTCGTAAACCTTAGCTGACTTCCGGCCATGCGTTTCTTACGCGAAATGAACATGGCGGGAGCGAGATTAATTGTCGCTAGCCAGTACCACGGAGATTTCAGCGAGCCGGAATAACACCGACGGTTCGTGCTCCGAATTTCGTCGCAAATCACGCCGGTACTGATTCTACGTTCTTTCTTGGATGTATATCGCTGCAAGAATCTAGAAAATGCCAGGCTAGGATAAAAAGGTTAGCGGTGAAGGAAGGTGACATAATTGAAGAGGCGAACGGTTAAATCCCCTCTGTTATTATGGCCGATCGGACCGAGTGTATCGAAGTCGAGCACGATATTTTCCTCGGTCCGACAGGCGGAAGCCCAGCCCAGGAACATTCGATCTGTCGTGATTGTTCCGTATCCGAGAGCCAGTAGTCGCTGTACCTTCGGGGTGATGATAAAAATTGCATCGCTCTCCGGGCTGGAAGCCGGATTTCTCCGTCATTCGGGATAGACTAACAGCAAGACCGATACGAGGGCGATAAGATGTCGATTACGAGGGACAGTAGACTACACTCGACCGCATCCGACGCTGTATATCACCATTTTCTGTAAACCACAACCATTATTTATCCTCGAATCCCTCCGCTGTATCAAAGATATCCGAACATTCGTCACGGCGGAACTATCCTTCAAACGCGCGACGTTTCCTACGGTAATAAAACACGAGGAAACGTTCGATTCGTATCTTGAGAGGAGACGGAGAAATACTTTGAAAAACAATCGAATTATCGAAGAATGTTTGAATCGACTGGGAATGTCGGAGGTACTCGTCGCGAATCGCCGAATCTACCGGAATAGACGAGCGACGTTTCCGACGAGAAATCCGCCACTAGCTTCGAAACAAGAACGTACAGCCGGGCACGAAGATAATTAGAATGTACGAACGTAACAAAGGATGGACCGTGTCAACCCGAAGAGAAAAATGAAAGCGGAATCTCTCTAAAAGAGAGGCGGACGGGACGGCAGAGGGGAGAGGATGCTCTGCCGCGTATCTATTCAACGAGGGAGGAAAAAATTTACGAGCGAGATAAGCCGGCAGCCCCTTGACTGACATCAGCCGACCGCAAAATTTCGCCCGGAAAACTTTCTCCCCTGGATCGAATTGAATCTCCGTTACCGCCCCACGCTATGCAAACCCAAAATTGAACGGTACGCGAGCACTGGACGGAGAAACGACGACAAAATTACGATAAAATTACGATCAAATTACGAAAGCCTGTGGCTGCTTATTAACCTACCCCTGAGAAAGACTCTTTTCAATTCAAACCAAGTATTATTCTTTTGTTAGGAATTACTATATGGTTCGCGACAAACGTAGACCTAGGCTGACCCTAGGATTTTTCTCCTTTTTTCAAATCTACCGGAACTCCTTTTTATTAAGCCTCATCATATATGTTTGATAAGCTGCAGATACACGTAAACCGCGGTTCATAAACTATTCGAGGAACAAAAATTCCATACTCGTGCTCTTTTCAAATGAAATTGTCCACCGTGCGGAAACTTGTGTTTCGTCACTGGGTACACGTTGATGAAAATGCGTAGCCACGTTTCCAAGTATCAGCAGAAAATTATTCAACGAGATAACGCTGATCGCGGAAAGAACTCGAGCTCGCGTAAACTGAAGCTACATTTCTGTATTTCGTATTTCGTATTTCGTATTTCGTATTTCGTATTTCGTTATACCGGCATTAGAATAATCGCCACTCGGCGTTCTTATGTCAGCGTGCCACGTGAAACGGGAAATTGAATCCCCTCTTGCCCGTAAGTAGATCGCATTCTTGTAGCGAGGTACGCGCGACGCGGAAAACTGAAAGTTCAAGCTCGATTTTACCAAGATAAATGGAAGACTCGGCAAATCTGCTTTTATAATTCGACACTCGCGTATCGCGACGCTTCGTAACGTTTCGTAACGCTCCGTCTCACGCGGGGAAATTCTATTCCGGGAAATCCACGATTTCAGGTAGCTTCGCTTTGCGAAATATCATCCGTTGGACCGTGAATTTCGAGCAAGGGACGGAACCAAAATCAACTGTCTTCGCTAATACTTGGCTTCCTTTTGCAAAATTCCCGATAATAGCTAATGTAAATGGAAAAAGTTGAGTTTCGGAGCGACCAATCCCACGGCTGATCCGAATCTTCGCCAGCATCGATCATCAGCGCTATTTACGCATTGCCGTTTCTCCTGGAACGCCTCGCGGGTTCGAAATCCAAGGAAATTGGACCGTTTCGCGTACAATGATTCATCGGGGAATCTCACGGCGGCAATAAATCACATCGCGAGTCCGCTCGTTACGCAAAACAGAGAGAGAGAGAGAGAGAGAGAGAGAGAGAAGTCGAGCAACGTTTGCCAGTGCGCTCGCGTTTGGACGACAATACGGGGAAAAATTGCGAAGCTCTTTCGAGACTATTCATTCCTCTTTTCCGCGGTGTTGTCGGTTAACTGCTGCTCTTGGCTAGGTCAATCGAAATTCAATTCGATCTCGAAGCCGCGATACTTCTCGGGCTGAGCGAAACGTTCGCCGAAACTGGCTGCCGCTGTAAAATATTACACATCCGAGACGGGCTGTCGGTTCCCTGCTGATCGAGGAATAGACGAAATCCGACATTCTGCTTTGCTAACAACAGCGATGACGTGTACCAGAAGCTTGCGATACATTTTCATCGTCGACCAGCGACACCAGCAATCATTTTGACCATTTTTCGTCGTTCGACGGTCGATTCGTCAACGCCCGTTCGATTTTAATGCATGGACACGACACGACGCGTCGGGGATGGAAGGGATTATGAAAGTCGAATTGGGGCTTAACCGAACCATTCGAGGCACGAAACGGAATGGCTTACGCGTACAAAGAAGATACGGGAACTTATCGAGGATTAAAGGTGTTCGAGGATCGATAGGTTGCCGCCGTGCCACGATTTATCCGTTGCAGATTAGAAGAGCACTTCTAATCTGAACGACGGCTAATTACGACAGGTTGTACAAGTTCTAAGTGTGTCTCGTTAGAGGTTCCTTTCCCTCGCTGCTGGATATCCATTTTCTCGAGTTACATTTCAAAGCAAACTCGCCGGGGTGAACGAAGCCGGACCACGGAAATCGCTATAAAGAAAAGGCGCTATACTCTGGAACACTTGCACGGCATCCCAACATCGTCAGCTGAAACGTGTAAACGCCTAACGATATTTTCTATTAGTCGACACATCTGTTTCTCGGTTATTAAACTAATTGATGGAAGCTGATTGAATTTTTCACTATTTTACCCCAGGGACAGAATGTTCCACTAGCGGTTCGTCGAATCCCTTTACACTGTCCTCGTAAACAGAAAATCTCCGACGATTCCACTCGTTCCCAGGCGTTCCCAGGCGCTCCCAGGCGCTCCCAGGCGCTCCCAGGCACTCCCAGGCGCTACCAGGCGCTTCTGCCGCGCGTCGAAAGGCTGATAACGATGCTCCGCCGAGCTTAAAAAAAATCCCTCAAGATTTAGTTCGGCGCGTAATAAGCAGCTCCGTCGTTACGATATTTTTCCAGCAGCGACAGTTTCATTGGGTTTTAAAACGTCTTCCCCGTCTCAACTGTTACAGCAGCTGTTCACTTGATCAAAGTGCATTCGGTTCTACGTGAAACGTTATCCAACAGTCTTCTTGAGAAGAATTTTGATTTACGAGGAAAAACAAGATATCTCGGAGTTCTTCCAAGTACAGTATGAAACGAAAAGCAACGTAGCGTTATTTCATTGTTTCTAATGAAATTGTAAACATAATTGATCGACGATAGTAACAGTAATAGTGTTATTTTCCCAGCGCGACGCGACAACGGTCAATTGTATCCAGAGAATAGCGAAATTGTCTTTCTTCTGTCCCAGAAACTTTCAACCCTTTACACTCTGCCGAGCTCGTTTCAACTATTTAACTTTTTAAGCGGACTCGGTTTCAAAAGTGTTCCTCGCTCCGCCTCGTTGCGCCTCGCCTCGAAATAAGGAACCGAAGAAAGATATTAAAGCCGAGGAAGTATACCGTTAAACGCGCACCCTCTTTGAACAAGGGTTCGTTCCTCCATCGGCTTTTTCATTAACATCTGTACGTTCATGACCGATCGTCTTTCAGGATGAACGCGTCTTCCTCATACCGTGGATCGCCGCCGTGGTTGCGACCTGCATCGTCGACGTGACGCATTCGTTGTACCTGTTCGTCGCTGCTGTAAGTACAAACACTTTGAGAATACGATAGAAACGATATTCGAATTGCCGCAGAGTAGAAAGCTGGTACAACGCGATTCAAAAATTGGTTCCTCTCTTGTCGCTTTTCGCTTGACTCCCATTTTCCCGTATCGAGATATTTTTCCCCGCGCGTTTCCCGCCGAGAAAGCACCGATAGTCGTTTTTTCTTCTCCTGCCAAGATGTTTCCTGTGGGGAGGACGAGGGAGTCTAGCAATTATCGCGGACATATCCCTTTACCACGCGAGAGGAGGATCATACGGTGCGTTCTCACGAACCGCGGGGAAAAACCAGATACGCGAACACGTGGCGATATTCGAACTTGGCCAATTCATTCCTACGGGGAAAGCTTTCTCGGATTTTCCTTTAATTGAAACGAAGAAAAACTAAAAGACGATATTAACCGTTCGCGATCTTAACTTAACTTACATTAAGCTTCTCGGAATTTACCTTTGGCTCTCGTCACTTTGCTCGCCCCTCGAGTCCGATTCGCAGCAGCGAATTACATCGAAAGGCGGCGATAACTCGATTAATAACCATCGCAGGAATTCAATTTCACAATTATAATCACGACCCGTAATTTCGCCATTAGGACACGCCGCGTGGAATTTCCCCCAGCGTTTTCCATTTCGTTTAATTACACGTTGCTTTCCGGCGAGTTTCCGTCCTCGCGGCGTTGCGGCGGAAGTGGGTCATCTTTTACGAGACACCCTGGCTGAAACCATCGGGTAATTGATTCCGCTGATTTCCGGACGACACGACGCGACGCGACGCGACGCGACGCGAGCCGCGAAAGAATGGCTCCGTTAATTAGCCGTAACGCCGATGTAGGCGTAACCACCATTCCCTTCGGCCGCGATCGTCAACTTTTCATCCATGCGAATCGGCAGCTAATAATTCGCTGTTTTGTTAAGCCGACGCCAATGGAATTCAAATTCAATACATGTTGCCGGGCTTTTGTCCGGAGAAAATTGCGAGCGACATTGGGGAACAATTATGGAAATTATTTAACATTGTCGCTCTGTATCGAACGCTGTTGAAAGAATAGAGGTTATTATTGGCCGAATAATTGTTGTGTATTCAATTATTCAGCTGGCTATTATATAGTTAATCATTTAACAACAATTATTTATTCTACAGATTAGTTGGCGAACATTGATTAACGTGGCAACGAAATGGGAAGTTATTGATTTTTCTTTCGATTTTGTATGATTTTCGGTGGTCGAAATCGGTGGTAGAATTTAACGAGAATAACGAAATAACGAATTGAACACTGAATCTGAAACCGTGGAATCCGAGTATTCGAATGTGAAATTGTTTCGCTTCGGTTCCGCGACATACAGCTGACACTGTAGAGGTTTCTCGAATCATTCTACAATAAACTGATTCCGCATCTTCGAATGGCATTTCGAGTCGGTAAACAAGGCTCGCTTTAACGAGCTCCCGAAGCGTAAACGACGTTGGATGTCGGATACTGGATAAAGTTTGTACTCGATGCAGTTAACGCGGGCGCGACTGTTCCTCGTATTAATCGAGGCACTCGCAGAGAGCCGCCTTTCAGTCGAGCACGGTCTGGTTTTTAGCCTCGTCGAAACCCGGGGGAACCGTCAACTCGGCCCATTTATTTCCAGAGGCTCTCGTTTGAAGGACTCGGCTGTTGCTTATGTTACCTACACGCGAATACGGGATGAGCTGGATCTCCGGAGATTACTTGGAAGCGTTGCGTACGCGTCGACCCCTGAACAACTTGGATCACCCCCTGAGAACGGAGACCGCGACCGCTTCCCATTTTTCCACATGAATATATACAATCCTACCGCGCTGACCAATTATTTCAAATGATTCAACTAATTCAAGCTACGAGTATTTCGACCGAAATACCACCAAACGAATCATCATTCGGAAGATTAATTAGCTGTTGTTACCAATTAACCTTTCCAAAAGGTTTCTATCTTATCTTATTACTTATACTTATCAAATTAATGCTTCGAAAAGCGGATCGATTCCGTGCGATCGACTACAGGATTAAAATCTGCCGCGTAATCGCACGAAAAGCTATATTTAGTGATCTTTCAATGAGACTTCCAATATTAATCTTCCGTGCTTGAAAACCTGTCACACCCAAGTACTCGCTGCTTGATCGAAATTCTTGATTCACAGTATACAATTTCCCATGTACAATTTCCCCCTACGTTTGTCGTTCCGTATTAACGTTTAAGCCTTGATTTCACTGAAACTCACCTGCAGCAGGAATCTCTGTAACGTAAAGTCTACGACGCAATCTACGAGCCCATCTACAATCTAATCTGCAAATCTCTTATCAAACGAACATTCGGCCGTCGAGAATAAGGGATCATCCGCGCAAGCAATTCCGCCGGAGATCCGCGTTATTGCTCTCTCGCCGAGCAAGCGATTCAGATTCCCAAAGCCACCTGTGGGCATCGGAGATCAATCCTCGGCTGAATTGCATTACGTCGCTTCGGCCGTGCCACGCGGCGTCATCGATCTACCGGTAAACACCGAACAGTCGGCCGATACATCGGAAAAGACGGGAACACCGTGAAATATCTGGAACAGGGCGTTCCCTCTTAGGTCGTTGAGAATTCCCGACTCGCCGATCAAACGATTTTACGGTCTTTTTATGAAAAACCTCGCGTCGTCTCGCATTTTCACGACGCACGACCGTCCAGGGGATTTTCAAAAGAATAAACTTGCCCGGCGAGACGCTGCGAACCAGTGGAAAATAAAACATTTCTTCTGCATTCGTTGAAGTTTTCTCGACGATTTTTTCGAACCGTTTCTCGAGACCGAACAGGAATCTCCATAGGAAATGATAACCTTTAATCGTTCATTCAGATTTTTATTATAAAGATTCTCGTTGAATAATCGTTCCATATTGTTATCGAGTAATTTGAAATGAGAAATACCGAGTGTCCCAGGTGCAGGGGTTCTTCCACTGGAACGGTGCAACGGTGCAACGGTGCAACGGTGCAACGGTGCAACGACGCAATGGCGCATCCAACAGCCTCGCTCGACCGTGCGAGGAATCTTCATTAACGTTCTTATGTACCTACGGTGCCGCGTCGGGCTCTTTCTCTCGTTACGCGGGAACCCAGTTTTTTTGCTGGAATATCGAATGGCCGTGTCCGCGAATTAGGAGAAAGAAACGAGAGATTACTTTTATCTCCCAGCGGAACGAACCCCGCCATTCGTAATGACGGATAAAACGGAGGCGTTTGTCCTTGCAGAAAGGTAGAAACCATTGTTAAACGCAGCGGAAATCAAAGCGGTGAAACAGTTCGAGTTCCTTTTTTAATGGAATTCGATGGCCGTTGATTGTTTCGTGGGGGAAAGAAGGGACTTTGTTTTATGGAAATGTACAATAATAGAAGGAACTGTAGAAACTAGGATCGCTTTCAGCGCAGCCGAAACTAATGGAACGAAATAGAATAAAAGTGCGAATTTCCTTTCGAAACTGTGCTTTCGAATATTCGCAAAGAAAGAAAGTTAATAGAGAAAGTTGACGGGTTAGTTCACCGATCTAATTTCGCCAACGTTCTGTTTCAGTCTACTTTCGACCCGGTGAAAGTGATGCTGTACACGCTGAACTTCTTTCTTCTCTGCCTGAACGTGAGTACTCTTCGATAAATCAACAATCCCATCGGACGGAGACTATAGTTCGACGTGTTTGGCGATCACGTTATTTTTCATTGGTATCGTATTTTCCTCGTAGCGATCCTAAACGCTGTTTTACAACATTGTTCGCGTTGAAAGATCTCTCTTGTTATCGACAAGCTACGGATGTTTACGCAAATCCAATCGATCGAGAATCGACCAGTAAGAACTGAAATTAAAGAGGCATTCGTTCGGTCGACGAACCTTTCTCCGAGGATTCCAGCGATTAGGAATTTCCCATGAATGCATAGACATCCGCAGGCTCGTTATCGGATGATTAAGCCTCGAATTCTGAGCGACACGTCCCATCTGCCCTTCAGATGTATTCGCTGTTGTGCGTCATCTCCCAATATCAAGAATATATGGCTGGTCGAGGCACCGCCGCGGATGACTTCGAATACAGGGTCAGTATTCTGAGAGTCTCTCAGCGGAAACAGGAACGGGATAAGAGACGAAAAGTTAAGTGTATTAATCGTACTGTTCAACTATTTCATTTATTCGCGACGACGGTGTACTCGGTCGTCTCGATCGTAATCGAGATTGAAAGTTGCAAGGAAATAATCCGAATTCGAGTGACAAAATATCACTCCACGTTACTACTTGTTTCGTAGTAGCCAACAGTTTGATCTACCAATGGAAGACTTCGGTCTAAATAGGGGCCACTGTTATATTAGGCAACTTCGGCGAGCGTTTCTTCCATTGGATCGGAACCGTCGGGGCTAATGGAGGCTCCGTTGAACCTCCTTTTCAATGGAAACCTGTCGAGTGTCGCGCCTTTCCCGGGGAAATCGGTCAGGTTCCGCCGTTAAAAGGTCTTCGTGGCGTCAACTTTGCTCGAGATCATTATCCAAACGGGCCAATCGGTGATCCGATAGCCATGGTTCGCGATCTCCTCGATGCAACGTCACTCGATCCCTCATTGTCCGATAATGCGCTTCTTCCACCGCGGTTAGCCTACCGCGATCGATTCTATTCTTCGGCTCGATCTCATCTCGTTAATCCAATATCGGTTTGTCATTCGACGAACCTGAACGCGAACGTGATACTTTTTCAACGAAATGTATCGGCGATTCCGGATGTCGACGGTCTCTCTCTCTCTCTCTCTCTCTCTCTCTCTCTCTCTCTCT